GGCCACGGCGGGCACCCCCTCCTGCCTAACTCGCCTCAGACAGGCTGGGGGCGGCGGCCATTTTGTCCCACTGGGATGAGGACAGAGCGGGATGAGGAGTCCCCCAACTGCCCTGGCCTCCTCTCTCCGATGGCATCCGATGGCTCCGAGCCCGCTGCTGAAGCCCTGGGGACAGGGTCTGTCTGTGGAACAGCCGGCCAGCACCACGGACGCTCTCCCTAGGCCCTCTGCTTCCCTCTGCGCTCACGTTGCCTTTTCTCTTCAGTTTGAGGTTCCAAAAAAAAAGAAAATGTTGTCCAGCCTGGAAGTGTCCCCCCTGCCTGGCCCCCTTCTGTCCCCTTCCCCGGGCTGGGAGCCCCGTGTCCCCCCACCAGGGCTGGGAGCAGCGGGGCGGCCGGAGCGTCTCCCACTCCGGACCTAAGCGCACAATTAGCTGTCCTTTAAGAAAGCAGGGGATTGCAGAGGAGACATCTGATCTCAAACCTGATGAAAGGCAGAGAATTTTCATAGTTTTAAAAAGTTAAGGTAAATGGAGAGGAAAATCAAAACAGATACAAATCCAGAATTGTGATTAACCTTATGTGATTGTTTCAGACTTGAAGCAACAGGCCAGCGTGCTGGCCGGCACCCTTTAATCGTGTAAATATCCTGCGATTTCCTATTTTAATGTTCTTCAGATTTAGTACTTGTAAATAAACACACGCATCAAGGAGAGATTAAACATTTTTGCTAAAGCCGGTGTCTCGCCTGGGTCTGTGGGTCGACGCGAGCGGGAGGAGCGGGCGGCCGCGGGGAGGCCGGGCAGGCCGCTCCGTCTGTCCATCCATCACCGGACTCATGAGTGTGAATAAGCTGATTTTTTTCATTTTTTCCCCATTTTTTTTCATATTATCTTGTGAGGAAACATGTGAAGCAAGTATTAAACTTCCACTATTTTAGCTGTAACACGCCTGAAATGAAGAACTGTCTTTTTTCTTCTTTGGGAAAGAATCGATTTATCTTCCTACCTTCCCCAAAGCATTTTTTGTTTAAAAAAGTAAATCACGTTTGAATTGAATTTTGCTTAGGTTTCTGGATAGATTTAACTCGGGACAACTGGGAAAAACAAAGAAAAAAACCACCCAACTTTCCGAATTTTGCCACTTTCTATGCATGCCAAAGGGCTCCATGGGGAAATCAGCTAGCACCGCTTGAGCACCCACATCTGAGCCTGCTGAAAATCAAGAATCAGGGAGGTGAGCAGCACGCTGTGTACATAAACCATGTTTAATAC